TTTTTCTTCTTTTCTCTTTCTTTCTGATTTAAATTTTCTCCATTCCTCCAAAAATTCGAATTATCTTCTTCCCTACTTCTTTTCTCATCTTTCTGATTTATTTTATTTTCCTTTATTTATTTTAAAAATTTGAATTTTTCTGCGGCACCCTAAAATCTGATTAGGACTTAGCCATTCTTGCTTTCGGCACACATTTTGACCCCGTGGGGATAACGAAGTGCTGCCGAAATTTGTGAAAAATCCAAAACTTGGTTAGTTTCTCTCCACTCTCCTCCACCTCCTTATTTATTTATCTATTTATTTCTTTATTTACTTGTTTTTCTGAAAATTTGAATTTGCGGCATTGTAAAAATTAGTGTGCTTCTCTTAGTCTCTCCGTTCTCTTTGCACATTTTGACCCCGTTTGGGTAAGAAAATGCTGCCGAAATTTTCAGAAAAATAAATAAGTCCTCTTCCCTCGCTCTTTACATTTTATTTCTTTATTTATTTTTATTTTTTCTTTTATTTTATTTTTATCTCGAAATTTTATTGTTTATTCTATTTTCTTTCCCCCTCCCCTCCATATTATTTTTTTTCTTGATTAGGTCGCCGCTACCCTCCCCTAACCACCTAAACTCCGGTTAGGGTTTTCTTAGGGTTTTCTAGGGTTTAGGTTTCTCCTAACTCCCGCCCCCCTTCCTACTCTCCCGCCTCCTTCTGTCGCCCACCCTGGACCTGGACGGCTCCTCCCCCCTCGAGCGGTTCGGCGCCTTCGTCTCACGCACGACCCGCAAAATCCGAGGCAAGCCGACTCACACATACTCACTCCGCTCCCGCGGTCCCCTTCCTCTTACCGGTGGGCCCCTTTCCCCACACACTCCTCTGAGGACTACCTCCATTCCCCTTCCGGCCATGGAAGGGAGTTCATCCGAGGAGATCGCCGCGGCACAGTCCACACCCCAGGTCAGCGCGCCGTAAGCGGCTCATGATGAGGCCCATGCGGACACGATGGACCTTCATGCCGTCCTTATAGCAATCCAGGCACAACTTAGTACGCTTGGACCGTTGCAAGCACAAATCAATGCGATGGACCTTCATGCCGTCCTTATAGCAATCCAGGCACAACTTAGTACGCTTGGACCGCTGCAAGCGCAAATCAATGCGCTAGCCCTCGACGTCAACCGCCTCAAGGGTTCCCCTCATCGCTCTCTCCACCGCTCTCACACCCCTTCCCCTACCGGCTCCGATTCTGGTTCCCCAGGACTCCAGAGACGGAGTCACCATGGTTCCCCCTCCTCTGCGGGTCAGGCCCAACACTCCCCCTCAGCGGTGGCGAGTGCTGCTGCCGCTCAGACCACCCCGTCCATTGCGGCAGTTCTTCCGGCCACGGCCGCCCCTACCATCTCTACTAGTGCCGTAGGTGCTGCGGTCCAGGTACAGCCATCTGGCTGCGCAGTTTCATCGACCTACCCCGGCGTTGCTTCCCAGCTTCCCGCACTGGTCGCGGCAATACGGCTCCGCCGTCTTCTTCCTGCCTTCGTCCCCCCACCCCCACAGCAGGGTACCGCCCAAACTGGGATTCCTCCTCCTACTGGGCGACCCGCTCCGCCCCCTCCACCTCCGACCCCGCGCACCCAGCGAGTAGCCACTTTACAGGCCACCATTGCGCAGACTCAGGCGGAGATTCTCGCTCTGAGACAGCCTCACCCATTACAGGCTGCCCACCCTTCTTCCTCTACCACCCCTTCGGTCCCCATGATGCAGGCTCGTTTCCCTCGACCTGCTCCTCAGCCTCTTCCCTCCTACCTGGCTATTCCGGGACAGCTGCCCGCGGCCGTTGCCTCCTCTTCTACTGGTCCATCCGCCAGCGGCCACGGCCCACAGCCTTCCCCCACCTCTGCCCCTGCAGCGGCCTCGACTTACGCTGCCGCAGTGCACTCGCCTCGATCTCTCTCCCCCCGCCATCAGCACAGTGGACATCCTCCTGTGCGCACCACAGACATTCCCGAGTATGATGGCACATCCCGTGTCTCTCGCTGGTTGCAGATAGCAACGCGCACGCTATCTATGACGACCACCCGTCAGGAGTTGTGGTGCGATGTGCTCGCAACCAAATTGCGAGGTAGCCCTTCCACTGCGTGGGAGGATCATTATACCCAGCGCCTCCGCGCGGGTGAGGTCCCCACTTTGGCCGACTTCGCGGCCTTCCTTCAGGACCGTTTCGGTGCTCGTCATGACGCCACCGACGCCTTAGACCGCGTCACCCAGACCAGATGGTCCGGGTCCTCTATACCGGCCGACCTGGAGCGTCACATCCGGGTGTTTCAGGATGCTCGCCTTGTTTGTGACGAGACGTTCCTACCGGAGGTCACACTCACCGACCGGTTCCTTGTCAGTCTGCCGACTGACTACCGCCTAGAGCTATGGAGGCGATCATTCTCTTCCACGGAGCAGACATACGAGGCTGCGCGTCAGTACCAGAGGATGTGCAGTCGCTTCTCCATCGCCCCATCCTCTTTGCAGCCAGCCGCCACCTCCCAGTCTCGGGGTACCACCCGAGGCCGCTCCTCGTTTGTCGGTCGTTTTCGTCGCCCGGCTCGACCTGGAGTGCCATTCGCTCGGCACTACAGTTCTCTCGAGTATGGAGAGGACGCCTCAGCCGAGCTCGATCTTACCATTGGGGACACCCCCGAGTATGGAGAGGACGCCTCAGCCTACCATTGCCGAGCGCCTGCAGATGGCCATGTCTGCCATGGGTCGTGCACGCAGTCGGGTTGCATAGGCTGGTGCCCGCACACCCACAGTTCCTCAGATAGACCTCCCGCAGGGTTTTGTCCCTCCTCGCGGAGCTCTATCCCCCGAGGAGCGTGCCGCCCTCGAGGCCCGGCGAGGCTGCCTTCGTTGCCGCCAGGATGGACACACCTCCTCACGGTGTCCATACCACACCGCCCTCGATTGGTACTACGCTGACATTTCTCGTTAGCGCCGATCTCAGTCCCCCCCCGGCCCCGCCCGGCCAGCCCCACCCAGCTAGCCACGGTGCAGTGTACCCCTGAGGCCTCGCACGTAGCCGGCTTCCCGACCACCGAGTTGCGGTTTGCCCCTTTGGCTACCCCACCAGAGGACCCTCAGGATACGATAGACGCAGTTCTCTCTGGCCCGTCGTCTGTCGAGGTACTGTCTGCCTCCCCGCAGACCGCCACATCTAGCGCTTCTCCCCCGAGACTTCCGACGCGTCGCGCCATTCGCACAACCGGTTGTAGCACTCAGCTGGCGACTCGCGATGACGTTGTGTCATCTCTCCTGGACTTGAGCATTCTGCAGGCTCGTCAAGAGCGACTCACGAGGCACGTCAACGTCCTGCGTCGTCTTCTCGCTCTGCTCTCTGATCCTGATCGCACCCTACCCATTATCCCTATCCGCCTAGGGACATCTACAAGGGTGTATCGCGCTTTATGGGACTCCGACTCGCAGGGAGA